GATGGTGCGCTCGTCTGGGGAAGCTGTCTTCGGTGTTGCTACGCGGGGGCCCTCGGATGGCTTTGCAACTGAGCAATGGCCAGTTGTTGTGCCTGCAACATTTCAAAAATATCGTGAAGACTAACTTCCTGTTCTTCCCGGGCCGGGGTTTTTGGAACTTCCTGTCGGTCACTGTGTCGTGCGCCTCTGTCGGTGTGAGAAGTTTTGTTGACTTGTTGTGCATCCTGTGAGTCCGCGTCCGCTAGTATTGGTCCGGGTACGTTATCGAGATCCTGTAGCGGTGCTCCGGCGGCCGGGATAGCTACACCATTTTCTCCGTGATCTTCGAGGCGGTCGTTCTCAACTCTGTTCACTAAGCCAGACATTTTTACCTGAAATCAAAGGATCTTGGACAAGAAAAAGTGTGAAAGATGATATGCGTTTGTGTAATGAAACTAGCAAGAAAATAATTACTATTATTTTTAGCCCCGCGGTGGGCGCCAAACTGTTTATCGTCAGAATGGTAACGACAATTAAATTAATGAAATGGGACACTAAAAATACGTAATCTATTCCCAAGCTAGTTGTTAGAGCAGATGATGCTAGTATTATGAATTTTAATGATGGGGCATGAGATAAACGAGGTAACAACCGAACCAAAGGGATTGCTACCCGGATGTAAGCTTGGCCGATGGGGACTTCGAGGTCGACCTCGAGGTCGAGCTCGGGCTATCGGGGACAATCGAGAGTAGTATAACAGCTGGAGATATAATCAAACGAAGCTATTTATAACCGATGTTTAGTTGTATGATGAAGAACACATATAGAGGCGAAGGATATCGAAGTATCCTCAGTATCAGTGAAAGCCAATAAGTTTTAGTAAGAAGAGAGAGAGAAAGATATTATTGCACTTTGTAGAATTGTGGGAGCAACATCAGTCCCTTACAAGGTAGGGCGAGTCTCCTTTATATAGGAGAGGAAACTCGGTTATGAATACATGTAAATTTAATTTACGAAATATGGAGATGTGATGGCTTGACTCGACGCCCCAGCGTAGCCTGTGGGTAGGCCGGCCCTGTCAGACTCAACCGCGTGTCTTGGGGGCTTCCCACCTTTGTCTTTATCTCTGCCTCGAATCGGACCTTCACAAGCCCCGAAGGAGAGGGCCAAGTCGTGGCTACGTGTCCTCGGGGTCTCGAGGTACCTCCCCGAGATGGCTCGATGGCAGGAAATCGAGACCTCTAATTTCACCGCGTACAAATCATAAACATTTAGAATATTCTGGTACCCTAACATCAAATTCATTAATGGAAACATTAAACACAATAGGTTTCTTCCCAAAGAATAGAGCAAACTGACCAGCAATAGAAACAAACATTAAAATCATAAACGAGCAATACACTATTTATTCTTGAAATACTTATCCCAGAAAGGGCAATACACAATTTCATAAAATGAGTATGTAAGAACTCAAATCACATTAGAAATATTTATAAAGAGGAGCACAATACGATAGGAACGTGGGAACTCCGAAGATGGCCAACCATACTTGAAATTTACAGCGACATCATGGAATTCAATTTTAAAAGCGAAGTTTAGCCAACATACATTGTTTGAGCTTTCCTTGAGTTACTACAACATCCCAACACTTCTAGCAATATCAATCTTTAGGAAGATTGCGATAATCAAATAATAATTATAGGGATTCTCATGGTGTGACTATCTTAGGAATTTTGTCAAACACCTATCATGCAAAATAGACTACAAGGCTCTACAATGGTAATCCCTTCTTCCCTAAACAAATTTCAACAAGAAACTACCTAAAATAGTTTATTAACCCACATACTATAACCTATTGTCACATGAATGGCCTGTTTCTAACCCCACAATATACTTGAACTCATAACCATTTGTATGAAAGCTTAGGACTAGGACTTATCCAGATAGATGATGGTTCAGTGAGTAGCTTTCGTGATTCTTAAAAATTGGTGCAAGAATGGATGATTAGAATGCTAGGTCTTCTCCTTCTCTCTCTAAACTACTCTTAACTCATTTTAAATTCACCAGACATTCGTTCCAAAATTAGCAACAAAGGTTATTTATCAAAATGGGGTCCGGTTATAAAAATAGGAATATGGACCTCCGAACTCAAGTCTGCGATCGCAGAATGGACCGCAGAACAGATATGCAGCGCACGAAAGGACCACGAATACGATGCCAAAGACTGGGATGGTCTGGACTTGTTTGCGATAGGTCTGCGGTCTGCATACCACTTATGCGGCCGTAGAGTGGACGTGGACCGCAATATCACTCTCCAAAATCCTACATGCCAAATATGCGACCGATGTGCGGACCACGAAACAACTATTCGATCGTAGAATGGACTGCAAAACGACCTTCAAAATTCAACTATTTTTCTTCTCAACTCTGCGGCGGGTACGCGGCCCACAAAACGGATCTACGGTCGCGAATCTGACCGCATAATTGCCTTTTTCTGCCAAAAATTTCACGAACTTCTTCAATGCATTTTACAACCCAAAAAGTCTTCGTACACATTTCCCCACCTTGGCACCACAAAAAATGAATTCCTATGCAAAATTTTACGTGGCCTTACAGCTACCTCCACGATCGCGATGAAGAACCTAAAACCAACAAAAATCTGCAACTTCCAAAAATACTCTCAATGGTCTGAAACTCACCAGGACCCGTCCAACCACACAAACAAGTCCATAATTACTACCTCAGCTTATCCAAAGCCACAAACACATACAATAACATCACATCAACGAATCAAATGCCACAAGTTGAAGTCTCAAGTAACACATTATAATTTTAAGGTCTCAGCCACCACCTTAGGATTTTGTTTTGAAAAAAAATATGGGGCAGGGGATGGGGAAACATTACTTCTTAAAGTTTGACAATTAATTTATATATTTTAAAAATCACATATATATATATATATATATATATATATATATATATATATATATATATATGTATGTATGTATATATATATATACATACATATATATATATATACATATGTATATAGATATATTCTTCAAAATATAAAATGAAATACATATAAACCAGAATACACGCTCAGACACACTCTTTGTCGATCCCGTTATTATGAAAGCTAACACATAAAAATTTTCAATTTTGATTTACAGTTGTCCAAGCATGTCGTGCAACATCTATTAGGCTGTACAATATCTTGTCAGCCATATATTAATTTCGATCGGATTTGGCTCAACTTCAGTTTAGTAACCCTCCAGTTTCACCTGTGCGCATCTAGTTTAATGACATCAGTCTAATATTCTATTTGTCTAACCAAATGTTAGACCATGGTTAAAACTAAAAGAAAACCTTATATTTTATCCTTTCCTTATAATTAGCAGTATATTATAGGCGAGAATCTCATCATTTTGGTAACTGAATTACTTGTAAAAATTAAGCTCTTTTTCATGAAGTTTTATTTTTATTTTTATTTTCTTGTTTCAAATTTCTATATCGTTAAACTTTCTTCAAGATACCTACCTTTGAATGAAATATTATTTTCATAAGCACCATAAAAGTTTTTTTTTTTGTCTTACACCTTTTTGTATTTCTTAGAAACCAAAAAGTGGACTATATTGTGTTTTGTGAAGATTAAGTAGTTACAATAGTTAAGCAAGGTAGTTAACATAGTTAAGCTAGTTTTAGTTAGTTAAAGTAGTTAGTGGTAGATCCCAGGCGACCATGGTTAGGTGGTTGGAACTATGGTTAAGTTATTACATTGAGTGGAAATATGGATTTTCATTTCCCTTTCTCTGCATTCGTCATCTTCTCTTAATCTCAGTCACAATAGAGTTTCAATTGATAATGCATGGATGAATCTGAGAGATAAAGTCAGACTCACCAAGCACTCAGGTATCAGAGTAGTGAAGATCTACAATTCCGCAAATTTTCGTTCAATTTAACAGTAGTTACATCATCGTCTTCCTCGCGAAGCTCTGACTGACGATCGTCAATGGAGGCCAATAAAATCGATCACACGCATCCTCTGTTCGTTCATCTTTCAGATACTCCTGGTTCAATTTTGATTCCTGCAAAACTCACAGGATCAGAAAATAATGGATTGTGGCATTGATCAATGCGAATTGCACTGCAAGCTAAGAGGAAGCTAGGGTTTGTGCTTGGGACATGCAAAAAGGACTCATTCAAGTCTGAATTACATGAAGAATCGAAAACATGTAATCCAATTGTGCTGTCCTGGATCATGAACACAGTCTTTCCAGATTTGCTTAGCAGCATTGCGTATGCATCTAACATGCATTTGGTTTTGGAGGATCTGACAGAAAGGTTTGACAAGGTGAATCGTGTGATAATTTTTCAATTGCAAGGAGAGATAGCCACCATCTTATAGGGATTAGACTATGTATCTGCATATTTCACAAGCTCAAAGAGCTATGGGCTGAATATGATGTAATGATGCCCATTCCTGATTCGAAGGAATATGTTGAGCTCCTTCAACAGCAATGGTTAATGCAATTTCTGAGTGGACTCAATGAGACCTATGACCAAGCAAGACGATATATCCTGATGAAAACTACATAGCCAAAACTGAATCAAGCTTATGCTCTATTAATTGAAGTTGAATGTCAGAATTCCAATTCCACCGTAGGGAATAGAGGATATCCCATTACTATGCATGCACATACATGACAACCAGGAATACAAACCAACAGAGGACAACAATACAAAGGGAAGAAGCCATTTGTGAAATGTGAATACTGTAACAAACTTGGCCATTCTAAGGAAAACTGTTACAAACTTGTTGGTTACCCAAATGATTTCAAAAATAAGAGAGCATATGCAGCTAACATAGTGACTGGAGTTTCTGAAAATGATAAAACGACATAGTAAAATGAAGGTAAATGCAGTAGTGTGGACTGAAGGCAGGGCCATACTTCACAGAAGATCAGTACAAGTAGATCTTAAGCATGCTGAACAAAGAAACTCCTGGATGTCAAGCCAACATGGCAGGTATTGCTACCTCTCTAATGAAAAACTTTCCTTGTACAAAATGGATAATTGACTCTGGAGCTACACATCATATTGCTAGTGATTTAGAGGCATTAGAAGTCAAAGATGAAGTAAATGCACATAGCAATGGACAGTTTCACTTACCCACTGGGAAAACGGCTAATGTTTCACATATTGGAAAAACAGGCATTCTTGATAAAGTGGAATTGGATGATGTGCTGTCTGTACCTGAGTTCATATTTAATCTTTTCTCAGTTTCTAAGCTAACTAGACAATTGTCATGCTCAGTGAATTTCTTTCCGGACTTCTGCTTGTTCCAAGACCTTTACAATGGCAAGGTGAGGGAGATTGTTAGAGAGAAAGGTGGTCTGTACATATTGAAGAAAGGATTGAAGGGAGATTTGGACAAGTTCATCAAAGGAATAAAACAGTTTGCATCCACAACCACAAAGAATAATGAGGAAGATGGAGCACTTTGGCACAAAAGATTAGGACATGCTTCTGTTAGTACTATGAAGAATATAGATTTCTTTCATAATAAAGTTGTAGATATAACAATAAACAATGACTGCCTTGTATGCCCTCTTGCTAAGCAAAGTAGATTAGTGCTTCCTAAGAGTTTAACTACAAGTAAAACTCCTCTTTGTCTCTTACATTTGGATGTTTGGGGACCATATAAGTACCCAACTCATGATAGGAAACACTTCTTTTTGACTATTGTTGATGATAATACAAGATATAGTTGGATACACTTGCTTCGATTGAAGAGTGATGTTGTTGTAGTACTTAAGAAGTTTCTTTCTATGTTGCAAACACTATTTCAGTCTAGAGTAAAAGTGATCAAGACAGACAATGGGACAGAATTTTTTAATAAACACATGACAGAATTGTTTGATACTATGGGATAATTCATCAAAGCAGTTGTGTATACACTCCACAGCAAAATGGAGTAGTGGAGAGGAAACATAGACATATGCTAGGCACAGCAAGAGCAATGAAATTTCAAGCTAGTGTCCCTACAAGATTCTGGGGTGAATGTGTTAAAGCAACAATCTATGTGATAAATAGATTGCCTACTATTCTGGTAAATGGCAGGTCTCCATATGAAGCTCTACATTACAAACCACCTACCTTAGTTCATCTCAAGGTGTTTGGATGCCTTTTCTATGTTACCAATACGATCAAAGAAGATAAATTTTCACCAAGAGGAAGGGCACATATGTTTCTGGGATATGCAGAGACATAGAAGGGCTATAAGCTAATGGATTTATCTACTAACTGCTTCTTTGTTTGCAGAGATGTAGTATTCAAGGAGCATATATTTCCATTTGCCAAACCTGCTTCCCAAAATCACATTGTAGAAAAACACACATCAGTTGATGTGTTTGTAACACAACCTCCCAATAATGCGGACTTGCAACTTGAGAGGATTGAAAATGATAGCCTAGAGGAGTCTACTGACCAAGATGCCATGATGCACATACAACAGTTGATACTGGAGAAAATGAAGCAACTGTAGAAGGAAATGCTCGTGTTGAGCAGGACCTATCAGTAGTTGCAGAGGACATCAATATAGACATGTCTAAAACTTGAGTTGCTGAATCAAGTTCAGATGTTGTACAACTGGTAACACCTATACGACAGCAATCTACACTGCCAAATGATGTCATTCTCCCAACAATTGTAGAGCTGGAAAATAATGAAGTAATGAAGTCCAAAAGAACCTCAAAGGAGCCCTTATGGTTACAAGATTATGTGACCACCAAGAAGAGACAGGGATCCTCATATCCATTGTCCAACTACTTGTATTATGCAAAGTTGACAGATAAATGCAGGAGATTCCTAGCTAACATTTCCACATTGACTGGGCCTAAAAACTTCACTAAGGCTTCAAAGGATAAAAGATGGACTGAAGCAATGGAAATGAAGATCAAGGCACTAGAAGATAACAAAACCCGGAGTATGTTGATCTACCAAGAGGAAAAAATGCCATTGGGTCGAAATGGGTATACAAGATTAAGTACAAAGCCAGTGGAGAAGTAGAAATATTTAAGGCCAGATTAGTTGCCAGGGGATATAGCCAAGGAGAAGGTTTGGATTACAATGAAACCTTCTCACCAGTTGCCAAAATGATAACTGTGAGGTCTGTTATTGCTCTTGCTGCTTCTAGAAGTTGAAATATCTCTAATATGGATGTATATAATGCTTTCTTACGAGGAGATTTGTATGAGGAAGTGTATATGGAACTTCCTCAAGGTTTCAAGAAACAGGGGGAGACAAAGGTTTGCAAACTACTGAAATCATTATATGGTCTAAAACAAGCTTCGAGGCAATGAAATATTAAGCTTAGTGAGGCCCTAATAGTTGCAGGTTATGTTAAAAGTCTTCATGATTACTCCTTGTTCACTAATAAAGGGGGAGAAGATTTTGTGGGAGTATTGATATATGTAGATGACTTGCTGATAACTTGGAACAACACACAATTCATCAATGAGACTAAGAATGTGCTTCATCAACAGTTTAAGGTCAAGGATCTTGGTGATCTTAAATACTTCCTGGAAATTAAGTATTAAGGTCCAAAAGTGGAATTCTGTTGAATCAAAGAAAGTACTGCCTTCAGCTGATCTATGATTTAGGATTAGGTGATGCCAAGCCTGTATTCACTCTAATTGACCTCAATAAAAAGTTCAGTTCAGCTGAATTTGATAGACACACTAGGGTTACAGGAGATGAAGTGCTACCTGATGTAAGTAAATATCACCGACTGATTGGTAGGCTGATTTACCTTACCATTACTAGGCCAGATATTGCGTTTCCAGTGCAAACATTTTGTCAATTCATGCAAGAGCCCAAAAAGTCTCATTGGGATGCAGCTGTGAGAGTTGTCAGATACATTAAACAAGAGCCAGGGATGGGAATATTTCTAAGCAGGTCGAATGAAGATAGCTTGACTTACTTTTGTGATGCTGATTGGGCAAGTTGTCCAAACACACGCAGATCTGTTACGGGCTATTTGATCAAATTTTGTGATTCACTCATCTCTTGGAAATCAAAAAGCAGCATACAGTGTTAAGAAGCTCTGCAGAAGCAGAGTTTAAGAGGCTGATTTGTTAACTAAAGGGCTTGGCCATTCGCAGCATACTTTTCTTCTAGGCAAGCTTGGAGTGCTCAATATCTTGCACCCTCCAGCTTGAGGAGGAGTGTGAAGAATAAGTAGTTACAACAGTTAAGCTAGGTAGTTAACATAGTTAAGCTAGCTTTAGTTAGTTAAAGTAGTTAGTGGTAGGTCCCAGCTGACCATGGTTAGGTGGTTAGAACTATGGTTAAGTTAGAGTATATATTTGTAATTACATTGAGTGGAAATATAGATTTTCATTTCCCTTTCTCTGCATTCGTCTTCTAATCTCAATCTCAGTCACAGCAGAGCTTCAATTGATAATGCATGGATGAATCTGAGAGATAAACTCAGACTCATCAAGCTCACATGTTTCTTCTTCTTGTACATGACAATTGCTTCGTTAAAATATTTTGTTGAAGCTAATGTGAAGAAAAAATAAAATTAAAACATGGGTCAAGAATACATTTCATTCTTTCCAACCTGACGAAATTCTAACAAATTTTCAGATAGCGAATTTTTCATTTCAACTTGAAACTAACCCACCAAGCGAATTTTTAGTTTAACAAGGGTTAAGGGATTGTTTTGTCTAATTGAATCATGACCCTTAGATATAAATATGAACCGATGTCATTAAACTAGGTGCGCGCAGGTGGAACTGGAGGATTACCAAACTGGAGGTGAGCCAAATCCATTTTGATCGGACGCCAAACTATTCTAATACCACTTAGAACACAACTCATTTGATAAAATTGATAGAGATGAAACCAAATCTTACCATTTGACATGGAAAATAAAATACATTGAACAGAGCAAAAACCATCGACGGTGATCTCCTTCTCATCGTTATTTTGACTTGATAGTCCACCTTTAGCTCCTCTTTTTATTTTTTTAGCTTTTTCTTTGCTTTTAGCATAACGATCAGACTGCCACACTTGGGGCTAATAGCCAGCATAAACCAGCAGTTTTGATGGACACCAAATTTAGCTAAACTAATAGGTTCTTTACGCTTCATTTAGTTCCATTTCGCTTTCGATCGGGAACGTAGTAACTATCTTATCTATATAAATTTAATGCATAATAAAAAATTAAAAGCAAAGACGTTGTCTACTCTTTTGGAAGCTAGTGATCCTCAGCTTGTCCCAATAACATTTCTTAGAACTTGTAAGTATCCTTCATTACTCACAAGCTGAACTCAGTAGAAGAACTACGAATGAACAACCTTGATTCATTAAAAGATCAAAGGAAGGCTAGTTAAGAGGTAATAACAAGATGGGGACAATTCATAAATATAATTGTTGTAGCAGGAAAAAAAATTAATAACTCAACTATATATAACTATATAATTATAGAATATGAAAAACTATGGGAAATGATAAATTCGCACCTGAAAAAGCAAATGGGCAGCGACATATATACACCTGCCAGGTAAGTACAGCCACATCAGTAACTCACTTTATATACTTTCTCCGGTCCAAAAAAATTGATTTTTTAGCTGTTCTTACAAAGATTAAGAAATCCACCTTTTAACATTAATTAGCAATGATATTGATCATATTAACTTTTACTATCTCTTCACATAAACACTCCTAACACATACTCCAATACTATTTACTCCAAGAAAAATGTAGGAAAAAAATCACTTATTTTGGACCACAAAAAAAAGGCCAAAAAATCACTTATTTTGGACCGGGGGGAGTAATATTTATGTGGCACCCCAAAACAGAACAATAAAATTACTCATTAAAAGAAAATCCATGATATGCCATACATGGTAAAAGACATCGAGCATTATCTTGGGGTATGAAAACAACTTTTTATTTTTATTTTTATTGTAGTGATATATAGATATCATCTAAGGTGAGTTACAGAAGTTGCAATTTACTTGTGTTTTCGAGACATATGGAGCATTTTTCAAACATTTGTTTATTTTCTGTGATATGTAGCCATAATTAAGTTATTTTACAAGAATTAATTTTACCACTTTAGTTAAATAAACATAAAATTAGATGGTCATTCGTGGAATAGAAGACAAGGGTTACATTGGAACTCCTAGTGCCTCACTCACAATGGAAAATGGTAGAGTATAATGAGAAAAAGAGAGAATGCTAGTGGAACCTAATGAAAATTTGGTGGTTAAATTGTTATTCCAAATGACAAGGAAAGATTAGAAACCCAGCAGACATGAAATAATGGATACCTCACGTATGGTAGCACAAAGTGAGACAATTGGACAACGACGCTGGTCAAATCCATCCATTGCAAACCCAAATGTTATCCCCTTACCAATGCCGCACGCTTTGATAAAATTGTAAAAATAGCACGGGCTAGCCAGTTTTCGGATTGGTCATCTAAAAATAGTCAGCGTTTGCAAAGTTATTGAAAAATAGCCACTATTTTGCTACAACACGGAATATGATAGAAATAATAACTGGAAACATGATATAAACTGATAAGTCTCATAATAATCTCAATATTGAATCACAACTACAAAACTCCCAAAATCCGGTGAAACTGAGTCATAAGCTCTATAGTAATATACTAAAATCTCAAATACAACACCGCATGAATAAATGATAAACAATAATAAGAGAGTGGTGGAAGGTGACTCCGAGACCTACGAGTATCGGGCAGGTATACCTTGAAGTCTCCGAAAATAGTAGAATAATCATTAGCGCCCGGCACGAACAGATGTACCTGGATATGCAGAAACGTAGTATGAGTACACCATAACGGTGCCCAATAAAAATCGAGCCTAACCTCGGTACAGTAATGACGAGGGCAGGTGAAGACACCTACTAGGACAAGTTAAACTGCATAGAGTATGACAAAGACCAATAATAGAAAATGAGGAAATGAATGATCAAAGTGGTACAATGATGTAGGCTAATAACAGAATTTAAGGCAAGAAGGGCAACAAGAAATGAACATATGATGAGAACAACACGTAATCAAATACAGACGTATACAAATAAGATAATGAAGAAAACGACAAGAAATGTTCAACCAATAAACCTTTTAAATATGGAATGTACAACAAGAATCACAACCAAGGTGTCACGCCTCATATCACATTTCATAATTTCAATCGCAATCTTTCCTTATATCACTGCGTGAGGCGTGCATTTATTTTTAAAAATATATTCTCTGAAATAACTACACGTGTTTTAGCCCCCTAATCTCAATGCGTGTGTTATATCCCGTACTTTAATATTAGGATGAGTCGTACTAATCCATATGAGCTTGAAGGGATTAAGACCATTCATGAGGTTATAGAGGATTTGTGACTATGTTATTATAAGACCCCGTAAGCTTAACAACCTTGATACCGTTATATACATTTGATATGGTATTTTAAGTAAAATATTTTTTCTTAAAAAGAGTTTGAAAAATATAATTTTATATAGTTATTAATATTACTACTTTCGAATATGCTTTAAATTATATGCATAATATGAGAAAGTTTATGAGATTTTTATTATAAAGATAGAAATTATTCTCACAAGAAAAGAAGGTTATCTTTTTTCCATTTTAAGAATTAAGCGTACGAAAATTTATACTCTTTATATGAGATTAGGAAAATTAAAAGTTGAAAAAATATATGTATTTTTACATTCATGTTTTAATAAAATAATAGTGTATGTATTGATTTTATATATTACCATGATTTATTAATATTTTAACATTTTAATAGTAGTACTTTAGAATTAGCACAAGACTATTTTCGAGGTTATAATTGTTACGGTATTTCAAACAAGTGATAAATAAATTCGTGAAGGCGAGAGGGTAAGCGAATTTAAAAAAAATGAGATTTGTCGATGTTTGGCAAATTGGGATAAAATACGGTCCAAGCTATAATACCCGGTATTTATGGACTAGTGTAACACAAGGTACCACGTGACCATGACAGTAAGGTGTATAAAGTATGTTAAAAGTGAATTGTATTTTAAGTAATTTAAGATAATTCTTAATTATAATTGATTAATTGTGGGGATAATTACTGGTATTAAATAGGATTAAGTGGATAAAGATTTCTGCCACATGGCATTAAGCTAGGGCAAGGTGGCACCAATGTGCACGATGAGTCATAACACATAAGGTGCCTTGTTGACCCATAAAAGTCTTTGGATAATTACCTTTGTTTTGGTTTCTTTATTAGTGATATTTCTGTCTTCTATACGTGTTCTTTTTACGGCAAGACCTTTAAAGTCAACAAATTTAGGGAAAATGATGGTTGAAACTTTCATACTTCGTTAGATACTTCTATAAGTAACTCCATGAAGCAAAATCCAAAAGACAAGAAATATGAAACTTCCTTGGAAAAACCAACAGTTAAGAGGAATTCTTGGAAAGCATTAACAACTCCTCCACTCTTTTCCTATGGATTATACTGCAAACTAAATTCTCAATCAAGATAAGTAAAATGAAACAAAAGGTAGTTATCAAATTATACATGGATAGGAATGATCAGAGATCTCGGACCAAGGCTTTCTAGATTGCTGTTTCTCAACTAGATTTTGTTTAGGAAAATATGGGCAGCAATGTTTTCTAGAATATAAATTACATCTCTTCTCAACAAAAAGATACTAACTCCTACGACTAAGGCGAATGCGAAGAAACATAACAATTATACTTACGTCAGTTTCCTTTAGCGGATACGAGTTGAGCTCTTGAGCAAGTGGGATAAGACCAAGTATATTAAGGTTATCCCTTCCTTCTTTTGGCATGATCCAAGTAACAGTACGTAAACGTAATGTTATTCCACAAAAGGATCTACTCTTAGAAGTTAGGAATTCTACATTATTCATTCCTATGAAATGTAATTCAAAGCATGTCTAAGTATGTTCCTAAGTCACTATTGAGGTATATGAAGATGTTAATGTTCATAATATAGTGATACATGCATATTCATCTACCACCGTGCTACGGCCGGTTGGGAAGACATGCACCTTCATTTA